ATTATTATTATTATTGTCCCCATTAAACACGACAAGGCTACTTGTCGGAGTTTTTAAGTATTTATCCGAGGTTTCTACCCGATTCCTTAGGGACAAATACTCGAATTTCGGTGGTACCACTTATTATAAGATAGCACCACATCAATTCTTGAAGGTCTTCCTGAGTCCGTCTTTTTCGATGGGAACGATTTGTCTCCTGAACTGGGCTCCGGTGACTAACATCTTTGGAGTGGCCAGGATCAGAAGCAGTGAAATTCACATTCTCGTCGAGCTGCCTCAGGTCGACAGTAGAACAAGATTTGTTTTTTGGTTCTTACTTTGTCTTGTTCTCATTTTTTTTGCTCTTTTAAGCCAACAGCACGTGGCGTTCTCAGACGGTCACCCATCCAAGTTTGCACCACGCCCGATGCTGCTTAACTTCGGTGATCGTACGGGAACCGGTGTGACCAGCACGCTATGGCCGTTGGCTTTATTATTATTATTATTATTATTATTATTATTATTCGCACAGGTTCCCCATTTATTCCCGCGTATTTTATATTTAAAAAAAAAATTTTTTAAATAAAATTATAATAACGTAAACATGTGCTTTTATTTATTTATTTTTGTTACGATTAATAATTAAAAATTATTATTATCATTGTCGACTTATAACGAATTCGAATCGTTATTATTATTATTATTGCGTGTTTTTTTTTTTTTTTTTGCAGTAAATAATAAATAAAATTATGTATTATTTTTTTGTCGTAAAAGGTCACACACGCACACACGCACGATATGTTTTCGATAGAATTAGGTAGAAAAAAAAAAAGAAACCTTGGACCCAAAGGAAAGAAAATTGAAAAAAAACAAAGTAAATAAAAGATAATCGTAAGAGGTTTTTTTTTGAGGACGGAAAAGTCCCGGTTTTTTTTTATACAACGATTTTTCAACAGGAATTAATAATAGTAATTATTATTATTATAATTTTCCCCCACCACCCTCACCCCCGGTTCTATATAAGGTCGCAAACGATTAATTGGGCGTCGTTGTTTAAAGTCTAAATAAATGCGTTCCTTTTTTTTCTTCCCCCCTTTTGGGCATTTATCCTTCTTTCCTTTCCTTACCCCTCTACCCTTCCCCTCCCCACCCACTTTTAATTAATTAAATATATTATGTAGAAAAACACGCGATCAGTTTGGTGGAAGCCTTCGAAATTGGAAGGTTTTTCTTTTTTTCTTTTTTCTTTTGAACTTGTTTGATATATTAATTTTGGCAAAAAATGAGTGCGTGCTGCGTGTGCGTGTGCGTGTGCGTGTGCGTGTGTGGCGTGTGCTTGTTTATCCCGTGGCATAGATTTTAAGCGGATTTAAAAAATTCATAACAACAGCAGCTGTCGCTGAAATTTTAATTATATAAAATAGAAAATAATCTCCATTCATTAATCACAATCGTAGCAGAACTTTTGTTTGTATCGTTTGTATGACGACTCCTCTGTGGGACAAACACAATTTTTTATAATTTTTTTTTTTTTCTGTCGTAAATTCTGTCGTAAAAGTATCAAAACATTTTTTTTCCTCGGTTGTTTTATATAAATTTCCATTATGATCAAAACATTTTACATTATTTAATGGCGCCTTCATAAAAACCCTTCGTAAAAATATTTCGTCAGACATGTTGTTGTTGTTGTTGTTGTTTTCTTTCAACAAGGTACACACACGTTCGTTAATGCTATATAGATAAAATTTTTGTTTTCTCTTTAAATTTTTATTACGTGGTAACATTTTAAAAAAAAATGGTTTTTAAAATCGATCGAGTTTTTAAAAATGTTTCCAAACGATTAATTGTTATGTTAAATTTTTTTTTTTTAGGGGGCTCGTTTTTGAAAAACATAAAGAGAATTATTTTACTAAGTGAATAATACGACAGGAAATTATTTGAAAAAACCGGAATTTTTTTTTTGGTTTAAAATTCACTGTTTAAATGAAAAATTCCACAAAATCGTTTTTGTTTTACATTTGAATGATTTAAATAATAATAATTTTTTTGTTTGCCCACATAAAATATTTAAAAACAACATTCAAGGTCATCTTGTCAAATAGTACTAAAATTATTTAATTATTAAATCAGGTTTTTTTTTTTTTATATTCTTGCGAGTTTTTTTTGTTTAAAAAAAATAAATAAATAAAGATGTGCTTTGGACAATGACGTAATTAAGTTTAAAATAAAAAAAATTTATTTCCGTCTACAAATTATTTATTTCCAGGATGCCTGGAAATTTTTTTTTTTTTTTGGTTGGTTTAATATTGCAAAATTGTGAAATTTACAACTGGAAAAATTGCAAAAAAAAAAAAAAATGATTAGAAAATTATTCGATTGAGTAATTATTACATAATAATTTCTTGCGGTTTTATTACCGCTACTTGTAAAGAAAATTAAAAAAGAAAAAAGAAAAAGTTGTCGTCGTCGTCGTCGATTCTAACGAAAGATACTAATCGTTTTTGTTTTGAATTTTCAGCCCTTAAAAATTTAGGGTCGAAAGCCGAGGAATTATTCGAGAAGAAAAAAAAAGAAGTCGAAGAACTTGCGATTCAAAAGAAAAACATGGCGACGGATTTACTACAGGCTCAGATAAACAAAACGGGAGAACTATTGACGCAAAGCGTTCAAGATGCTGAAAAATTGGCGGTGAACGCCGCCGAAGAAGCCAAACACGAAGCCATCGATGCTTTCGATGCGGAAGTTGCTAAAGTTGAAAAAGTCGTCGATACCAGCGTCAATCAGGTACGCAAAAACGAAAACGATACGACTTCCGGTTTTAAAAATTTCCTTTTATTTATTTATTCGTTCCTCGATCGATTTGTGTTTGTATTTGTGTGTTTGTGTTTGTGATAGGCTGCCACTGCCATAGACACAACGATCAAAGGAGCAGACGAATTTTTAGATCAGAAAAGAGGAGAAGTCGTCGATGTTGTCAACACGACAAAAAAACAAACGGAAGATTCAATGCAAGATGCTTCGACGCAACTTTTGGGAAAAGCCAGAGGTTTATTAAACTGTAAGACACCTCATCATTTTTCCATCAAGCTTGCGAACAACATTATTTTTACATAAAACATAACATAAATATGTTTTTTGTTTTCAGTTTAATTTTTCACGCAGTTTATAATATAGAAAAATTAAAACCAAAAAAAAAGCAGAAGAAAATAAAAACTAAGCTGTTAAAAATAAAAAAATCAACCGGATATAATTACGAATCATTCATTCGGATTCAACAACACCTTTCGCAATCAATTTACTTTATTATTATTATTATTATTCCAGTTTATTTCCAGCATCATATAAATCAATCGAATATAATATATATATAAAAAAATAGAACAAAATCCAAATCGTTACAATACATCAACAACAAACAACAAAACAAAACAAACAGTTTTCAACGAACAATACCGAACGAAACAAAAATAATGATAATAATAGTTAGGAGGCATAATAGGCTTTAAATAGATTTTAGATTTGTTTTTCTTATTTTCGCCTTAAATTTTTTAATTATTTACATAAAATAATAATAATAATTGATTTATTTATCGCGTAGAGGGATGTAGAAAAAGAAAGAAAGAAAATGATGACAACAGCAGGAAAAGAAAAAAACAGTAGGAAAAAGGAAAAAGGTGAGAGAGAGAGAGAGAATTTGGTTGTTGTGGTTGTTGTCGAAATGATTTTTATTATTATTATTATTATTTGTTTGTGTGGGGGAGTAAACACCACCGTTTAAGTTGCCTTGCCATTTTTTTTTTTTACTTTTTTTTTTTTTTTATTAACAAATTAAATAAAAAAAACCCAAAAATTTCACGTTTAGGACACGTTAATAAATAAATAAATAAATAAATGTTAATAATAATTTATTATTTTTGTTGTTGAAATTTTGCTATTGTTGTAAACAAAAAAAAAATAATTTAAATTTTTTATTATTTTTGTGTGATTTTATTTATAACTCACAAAAACAAAAAAGCTTTATTGTTCGAATATATTTTTTTGAATTAAAAATTTAAAAAAAAAAAAAAAAATTTTTAGCGGTTTTTTTATGAAAATCAATTTTCCGAGCCATAATTTAAAAGAAAATGAATGTTTTGAATAAAAGGAAAAGAAAATTAGTTATTATTAAAAGGAAAATAACTTTTTTTAAAAAATAATCAAATGAGATTCGTAAATGAAGTCAATAATCAAATAAAAAACTCGATTATGTTTTTACTCAAAAGTAGAATAACATAATGGAAAATTTCATTTTTAACAAAAAAAAAAAGAAAACCCCCCCCCATAATGTTTATTAAAAAGGGAAACTTTCCCCCCCCTCGCTTACGGTAACAAAAAATAGGTTTATTAAAAAAAAAAAATGTCGGACACATAAATAAAATTTTCCCACCCGGTTTATCGTTATTACCTTTTCTCCTCCCCCTCCCTTTTCCCTCCTCTCCCCTCTCTTTTTTCCTCCTCTCCCCCTCCCTTTTCCTCTTCTTCTTCGTCTCCTCCTCTCTTTTTTTTTCATTTTTTTTTCATTTTTTTTTCATTTTAATCCTAAAAAAAAATATTTTTCGAACCTTAAAATGAAAAAAAAATTTACCGAAAACTTTTTCCCTTTTTTTTTTTTTTTTACTCTTCATTAAATTAAATTTATTTTATAAATCAAAAAAAAAGAAAAAGGAAAATGGTGGGGGAAGGGGAGAGGGGTTTCCGCACAAAAGAAAAATTTTTTAAAATTGTTTGTAAATACAAATAGGAAATGAAAAAAAAACACACAATGGAAATAATAATAATTTTTTTTTTTTAAAAAAGGTTATTCACCTGTAAATTAAATTTTGTGAGAGTAAGAGAGAGAGAAAGAGAGACAGTAAAAAAGAGAGAAAGAGTAAGAGAGAGAGAGTAAAAAAGAAAGAGAGAGAGAGAGAGTGAGAGAGAATAAGAGAGAAAGAGAAAGAGAATGAGAGAAAGAGAAAAAAAGAGAGTGAAAGAGAGAGAGAGAGAGAGAATAAGATAGAAAGAGAGTGAGAGAAAGAGAGAGTAAGAGAGAGAGATAAATTTGATAATGGTACATCCGTTGCACCCAGAAAAGCACCCTAAAAAAAAAAAAACTACAAAACCTTTTTTCGATCCTTTTTATACCTTCGATTACCAACTAATAATAATGATAATGATAATATTTAATAAATTTATTACATAATAAAAATAATAAATTAATAATTTTTATTTTAAATTTATAGGGATACAAACAGGATAATAATGCGTATGAAAGTACCTGGAAAAAGTTATTTTCCTGAGGGACTTTTCCCCCTTCTTTTTTTTGTAACGTTCGAAACGAATCGATTTTTGGGAGAAATCTATCATAGATTTTTTCCTTTTTTTTCTTTTCGTAAATAAGATAAATAGAGAGAGAGAGAGAGAGAGAGAGAGTGAGAGAAATCTCACAACTTCCGGTTCGATTGATATCGTCGTACGTATAAAATCAAAAATTATTCTTTCATTATCACCAGTAAATAAAACGTTCCAAACGTTCGTTCCAGTTAACAAAAAAAAAATTGGATTTCACACTCTAATTATTATCATTATTATTATTATTATTATTACTTCCTATTTTCCTTTTTTTTTTCTTACGCGGGCATTTATGTAGGATAAGTTTATTATTCATAAAAAATTGTATTTTATTAATAATAATAATAATAGGAAACGATATAACGAAAGCATTTATGCGAGTTTTTTTTCTAAAGACGGGGTAATAATAATAATAATAATGATTATTATTATTATTATCATCATCATTATTATTACTGTGTAAATAATGCATCATGATAAAGGCAATGATAAAAACTTTTGTATTTTTGAATTCATTTTATTATTTGTGTCGTCGTCCCATATACATGAATCTGGAAGAAATTTCTATTTATTACGCTCATGCGCAAATCTCCCTTCTTCCCCTCCCTCCCACCTTCCCTTTCCCCCCACGAGTGCTGACAAAAACGTTTATAAAAATGATCGAGGCGGGAAAAAATTTTTTATGGAGAAAACAAATTTGCAATTTTCCAGTTTTTGGTCTTCTTCCTTCCATTTTTTTTTTTTTAATGATAAAAATTATTTTTCCAGAAGTATGCATAATAATAATAATAATAACGGGGGGTGGAGGAAAAGGAAACCTTAGTAATATTTTGATTTTTTTTTTCCAGAATTTCCAGACTCGTTTCAAATTTTGAACGTATTTACCTACCGTGACTGGAGATGACCTCTTAGCAAAATTTTCCAACAATTGTTCGTTCGTATGCGTACGAGTCGGTACGTAATAATTTCGAGGTAAAAAAAATTTTCCTTTTTTTCTTTTTTTTTTTTTTTATGGTGGTGGTGGTGAAATCGTTTTTTTATTTTTAAACAAAAAAATTGTTATAAATAATTAAATAAAATTTTAATATTAAAAAAGTTTTCCACGCGTTTGTTTGTTTTTAATCGCGTGTAATTATTTTTTTTATAACAAAACAATTTTTTTTTTTAAACAATGAAAATTGTGATGATGATGATAATGATTATAGAAAATATCGAGTGTTTGTTTTATTAGTGTGTTATTATCATTATTATTATTATTATTATTTCATCTTTTAAATAATATCATCCGGTAAGATTTAATTAATTTATTAATTTAAATAATTTTTGTTTAAACAAAAGCAAAAAAATTCTACGCTATGGCGCACAAAAAATTTTTTTTTTTATCCATTATCCGTAGTAGAGAAAAATAGAACAGACAAAGGAAAAAATATCAGGGGTAAACAAACAAACAAACAAACAAATAAAAAAAAAACAACAACAACAAAAGAAATAATATCCGCAGCGTTAAAAAATCAATTTTCTATTTAAAAAAAAAAAATTATTAATAATAATAAAAACGATGTCTTTTATTATTATTATTATTATTATTTTATTTAAACAATAAAAAAAAATTTTATTTGTTTGTAACGATTGTTTATATAATAAAAGCCTATTATTATTATTATTAAGATAGTAAAAAGTTAACATTTGTTGTTATTGTTGTGTCCAGGTTGTTGTCCAGATGCGTTCTTAATACGTATAATAAATTTTTTTTTTATGTTTTCTCTCGGTGATAGAAAAAAACGGGGGGGGGAGGGGGCTTTAAGCTCAAAAAAAAATTTTCCGAAATGAAAATAAGTAATAATAATAATAATAAAATCTTTTGAATACGATTACTACTGATATGTAAAATTACGAATTATTTTGTAGTTGTTGTTGCTGTTGTTGTACCTACGGAATTTTTGTAAATATTATCATTATTATTAATGTCATACAATTTTTTTTTCCGTTGGTACGGGAGGGAGAGACGGAGAAAGGGGGAGGCAATTTAAAAAAAAAATGATTGGGGGGTTGGTGTGAAAAAATTGAGGAAAGAATTAAAAATAATTTTCGTTTTAAATAAAAAGAACCCACCTTTTGTAAAAGTAAGGAAAATGAATTGGCAAAAACGAACGCTTAGCGAACGCTTGGCGAACGTTTAACGAACGTAAAACTAAAAAAAAAATTTTCTTTTTTTCCTTTGTTTCAGTTTATGCGAAATCCCAAAACGGCGGGTGAAATTTTTATTTATCATAAAAAGAATTTTCCGGCTTCATCATTCATTGCTGGCTGAGTTCGTCCGCCCCTACGGCAAGGCCTAGCTATGTCATGCCGGGGGGTGGTAAAAAAGGTAATCATTATGTATATACAATTATTATTATTATTATTATATTTTTTACGGGGGTCGATCATTATCATTGATTTAAAAACAAAAAAAAAAAAAACAAAAAAAATTGAAAATTTTGCGCAAGACGAATTATTATTCATCAAAACGACTCACATCGGGTGGAATTTTTTTTTTTTTTTTTAACTTTGTCTAACCCCCTACCCCTACCTTACCCTCTTCTCCCCTCCCTTTCTCTCTCCCGTTTTTTTTTATATTCGAAATACTCATCGTACGTCGTCGTTTTTATTTAATGAAAATCGCGAAAAAAAAGGAATGTCTATTTTCTATAAACTCTTTAAATAACTACGTTGACCCCTCCCCGTTCCCCTCATCCTGTTCTTCCCTATCGTATCGATACGTGTATATATATAATAATGAAAATAATAAAGGGTTGAAATTTTATCTCCCCATATCTCTCTTATCCTTTTTTCCTGATCGCCATTTTGTTTTTAACTAAATTTAGAAAATGCGATACCTAACTATTAACGTGAAAAAATTTCTGATTTAGAAAAACAAACGGGAAAAAAATCGTTTTTTCTCGAATAGTACCGGAAGTGACACGCACACCCACACCCATTTCCACACGCACACGCACAAGTTAGACTAAATATTTTCCTTTAAAATATTGTAATTGAAAAAAAAACGAAAGGTTATTATTGTTTTGCTGTATGACCTTTTAAACCTGACCGTTACCTTCCGTTCTCTCGGGGCGTTTTTTTTTTTTTTTTTTTCTATAACAAAAAAAAATAATTAAATATCGATTGGTAAAGGTGGTTTTGTGATGATAATGATGATGACGATGGCGGTGGTTGGAAAAAAATTTTTATTTATATCGTTAAAAATATTTTTATCGAGTGCTCTCAACCTTCAACTTTTTAACGCTAAAAAAAATAGTAATAATAATAATGATAAATTTAATGAGAATGAATTTAATAATACTCATGATAAAAACCTGAAACCATATTTTCACTAGAAAATATTTTTGTTTTTATAAAAAAAAAAAAAATGGCGAAAAATGGCAATTTTATATTAACGGTTTCCTCCATTTTTTTTATTTATTAATTTTCACTTTGACGTATTAAATATTTTCTTTTTTTTTTTTGGCTTCTTTTACTTTTGCCCAGAAAAAAAGGAAAAAAAACTTAAATCATTTTTTTTCCCTTCCCCTACCCCTCCTTTTTCTCCCTTTCCCATCCTTCTAAATTGTAAGTTTTCACGTTTAAAAAAAAAATTTTTTTTAAATTAAATTTATTGGGAATCGTTGATGTAACAACGACGACGATTTTTTTTTTTGTTTTGTTCTTTGATGTTCTCGAATCGATAACGACGACGACAACGACGACAAAAAAAAAAAAGAAAATATTTTTCGAAAAAAATAAAATAATTAAATTTCAGCTGTGTTTCCATCACTTCACCTACACGATCACGATGCATTTCGTATAAGTTCAAGCGATCAGGATAGACAAAAGAAATTATTACAAAATAGGGGTAAGTTGTTGTTGCTGTTGTTGCTGTTGTTGTGAAATTTTTGCCTTTTTTTACTATTTGCTTCTCGTCCGAAAAAACTAGAAGAAAAACTTAAGTGTGACGTGCGTGACTTTTCATCTTTAAGGAAAAAATTTATCACACCCACCCTCTCTCCCCTTTCTCCTTTTCTTCCCTCCCCCCGACAACGAACAACGTTATCAACAACGGTTTTTTTTGTTAATTTTTAACGTTAAGTATTTTTTTTAAAAAAAATTTTCGCGCGCTTTTTTGTTTTTTTTTTTTTTAAATATTTTATGTTATTTTAATTAAAACAAAAAATTTTCCAATAATTTCCGGTTTGTATTTTTATTATCTGCGTAAAAAAAAAAAAAAAAAACAAAAAAAAACAGAAAACTTTTCCTTTTGTTTGTTGACGTCGACAAATTTTTTTTTATTAGTTGTTAAAAACATAATTTATGTTTTAATGTTTATATGTTTATTATGTTTTTCGTATTGAAATCTTTCTTGCCTCGCTTTCCTCCCCCTCCTTCCCGAAAAAAAATATTAAAAAATGTTTTGTCGTTCGTTTGTTTGCGGAAAACCAAAAATTCAAAAAAAAAAAAAAAAATTTTCACATTAATATTCTAAAAATTTTTGTTCTAGAAAATTCTAGAAAATTGCGTTTTTTTGTTTGTTATGAAAATAGGCGTTCCTTGCTTCCGGATTGTTGCAAACAAAAAAAAAAATTTTCCAGTTATAATATAAATAAAAAAAAATTTTTTTGTTTATTTTTATGTTTTTTTTTTTTTTTTTTTTTTTTTTTTTACAGGGAAGTCTCTCGAGTTGAAAGAAGTTTTGGATAAAAATGAGGGATCAACAACAAAAAACAAAATAAAAAATCAATCATCTGGATGTAGTAGTAAATGCAGTAGTAGTAGTAGTAGTACGACGGATAAAAATCAAACAAACGGCGGTCAAAAAACTCCGACAAAATCCGAACAAAAAGCAATGTTAAAATTAGAACAACAGCAAATGAAATCCGAACAAAAAATACAACAAAAACTCGATAAGGAACACATGAAAGAACAAATGAAATTAGAAAAAGAACAAAAATCACAAATGAAATCAAATGCAAAACTTTTAGAAAAGAATAAAAATAAAGAACAACAACAGCAACAACAACAACACCATCAGCAATTTTCAACGTGTTTTAAAAATAATCCCCAATTAAAAGCTCAAAAGAGTATCGATTTATCATGTTTAAAATATCAGAAAAGTGTTGATACCCCCCCAAAACAACCGGCACGTAAATCCGTCGATATGCAATACAAACAAGATTTACTTAATACAACAACAAACGATTTTGCCACGGCTTTTTCATCCATTCAATTAAAATCAAAAAAATAAAAAAAATTTTTTTCTCCTGTTTCTTCTTCTTCTTCTAAATCTTTTTTCTTCTCCACTATTTTTAATGCCTTAATATTATTATTATTATAATTATCATTATTAATCACATTATGAAAAATGTTGAAATATTTTGTTATTTGTATATGTGTATGGTTGTGAAAAGAGGAAGGAGGGTGCGTGTTTGGTAAAAAGAAGAAAAAAATTTATCAGGCACGATTGCCAACTTAAAATTAAAAAAAAAAATTGTAATTTTATGTAATTTTAATCTTTTTACGTATAAAAAAAAATATATAAAAAAAACAACCGGAAATGAATTCTCAGGTTACCAAAAAAAAAAAAAATATCATTTTCATTATAAATATATATATATAAATATATTAAAAATTTTAAATGTAGCTTATGTACTTAATATAATATAATATAATATATTTAAAGTATAATTTTTGTTTATTTGTTTTTTGTTGTTATCCATCTTTTTAAATTGATAACTGATAATATTAAAAAGCTAAAAAAAGCTTAAAAGATGAAATATTTTCAATGTATCAGAAAAACATAAGATCCAAGGAGGTATAAAGTAAAAAAAATGCACCATTGGGTTCCCGCTTAAAATAAAATGTGTGCCAGGTAAAATATACAAGGTCGTCCTACTTAGCGTAAACAGTAAACAAGGTCGACCTTGGTTGAAAAATCGTGACCATGAAAATTTTCACAAAATTGAAATGTAAAACTAATGGCCTTGGAATCAAGGTCGACCTACTTTAGAATAAATCGTAAACGTTGGATTTTCGCGCTCAAGGTCATTTTTAACTTAAAACATCGGCTGGAGGTATTTAGGAGGTAAAATTTAGGAGGTAAAATTTAGGAGGTAACATTTAGGAGGTAATTTTACTACTTTTAATCCGCTCGAGAAATGTAAAAGTATTAAAAGGAATCTGTTGTACCTTGTTAAAATTCTTTGCACTAATTATCACGTAATAGAAAGGCCACTAATTATTCCTGATTTTGATACAGATTTAAAGGGAGGGGGTTTTACACTATCCTTATGATAAATTATGTTGTAATGAGATAAACTAACACAAGAAAAGGCCCAAAACAACCCATAATCAGTAAATTAACCCTTAAAGATTAGGGAGTATAAAAATTTGTACACTGAGTTAATATATATCAAATCAATCAATCATTATTAATAAATAATTTTATTAAATAACTTCAACCCTTATTTTTTATGATGAGATGAAAAAGGTATTTAATCAACCTACTTATAATTAATCAAATAAATGTAAAATTTTTTAAATTTCAATTAATTTCTTTAATTTAAAAAATTTACAATAATTGACTTATTATTATTATTATTATCATTATCATTATTATTATTTAATTCACATTGTTTTGTTTTTTTGTTTTTGTCCTTCGTTATTTTTATTTCTTCTGTTTTTCCCAACGTTGTTCTTATTGTTGTTGTTATTATTTTTATTATTTCCTGAATTTTGATTTGACGATTCGTTCCAGTCGTCGCAATTCTAAAAAAAAAAAAAAAAAAAATTAAAAAAAGAATGACTATTCAATGAATGAATGAATTTTTTAATTCATTCAATAGGAAAAATAAAACTCACGTCTTTTCCTTTGATTTCCATACACATGGCAAAATTCTTAGCCCATTTGCAAACCTTGTTTGTATTATTATTATTATTATCATTTCTCTCATTGTTATTGTTATCATTTAATATTTGAAAACATTCTTCGACGGATTCTTGTATGAAATTTTTCAATTCTGGATTTTTAAGTTTTTCCGTCATTTTTAATATTATTAATTCCTTGTTTGGTTTTCCATCTTTATTCACCTGAAAAATAACCGGCGGTGTAAAATAGTAAAGAAAAAAGTGGAAGAAGAAGAAGAAGAGGAAAACAATCGAAGGATGTAGTTAATGCGTGATATCATTATTACTATTATAATGATATCGGTGATAAAAATAAAAAAGGTTTTCCTTTTCGTGAGATAAAGGAAAAAGGAAAACTTACCATTTTCATTTCTTGAAAAATGCAGTGGATCACGCACTGGAAAAAAAACATGGAGGTGTTGTAATTAAACAAAAAAGTTAACAAACAATAAAAAAAAAACACGGTTATTAAAATAAAGGGTATAAATAATTCTAATGACGCGATAAAAACGAATAAAAATAAAGTAAACACTTAATTAACTTTTAAAGGTCGGGGGGTGAGGTGTAAGAAGACAAAAAAAAATTTACCGGTTCTATATTGATCAATGGAGAATCATTATTATTATTACTATTATCATCGAAAAATAGAGTACCACCACTATTACCACTACTGGAATTTTTTTTTTTATTCTTATAAAAATAACCGCTGGAAGAATATGAATCCCTGGAATTTTGTTCTCCATACATGACGAAATCCTTATTATTTAAAATTTGTCCGTTGTAATAATTACGGGTACCGCCGCCGCCTCCACCGCCGCCATTATTATTATTATAATTATTCGTTTCGTATTTTTTATTTCTTTTACTACCATCTTCGTAATCTGAATCGTTATCATCGTAATCTTTATCACGTTTCCCACCGTCGTTATCATCATTATTTTCGTTCCAGAAATTTCTTCGAGTTTGCCAGAATTTAAAAAAAAAAAAAAATTATTATTATTTTTTTGGAAAATTTTGATAAAAGAAAATTTTTTTTGTTACCTGTTGTTTTGTGAATCCCGCCTCTTTTGATAATCCTTATTTTGTTTATTACCGTAATAATTTCCGTTATCTCCGTAATGATTATTATTATTATTATTATTATTATTATTATTATTATTATTATTTATTATTATCGGGATTATAATTGTTGTTGCGGTGGTGTTGATGGTGGCGGTTGTTGCTGTCACGACGGTCGTAATTGTAATCGTTCATGTTTTCCTCGTTTCCATTATTATTATTATTGTTACGATTTCGGTTCCTATTATCATTATTATCATTATCATTTCGATTTCTCGAAGAATATAATCGATCGATCCAATCCGTTTGATTATTCATATGACGTAAACACATTCTAACTACGTATTCGAAATCGTTGTTTTGTTCCGTATTTTGCATGCTTCGACATTTCAACCCCTAAAAAAAAAGAAAAAAATTATTAAAGGGATGAAACCACAAACAACAACAACAAACAAATAATTTTCTACAAACTCACGTTTACAGACTGGATAAAATTAATTATAAAAAAAAAATAAAAAATAAAAATTAAACTCAAAATTTTCATTTTTTCACAAACAAAACAAAAATTTTGACTTGATAACAACGACGAATGATAACAATTTAAAAAAATTTTTTTTTCATTTCTATTTATATATATTCTAATAATGAATATATGGTATTTATTGTAGACAATATAAACAATCTAATTAATATGAAAATCAGAGCATTTCCGTTTTGACATTTCAAAACCGGAAATTATTTTTTATTTTGTGTCAATCATATATATTTGACTCGTGAATGGAAACAACAACAACAATGATTTAATTGGAGAATTAATAATCGATATTTAAATTTTTTTATCCAGCGGATTTTGATTATGAGTGTCAATGTCGATGATAATAATGATGATGATGATGATGATCATAATGATGACATTTTTGACGATTTGAAAATAAAAATAAAAATTTTCTCGGAAGTAAAAAAATTTCAACGTTTGTAAAACATAAAAAAAAAAAATAAAATCCAATGAATGAATGAATGAATGAATGAATGAATGGATGGATGGAGGAATGAATGAAAGAACGTAAAAGGAAAAATTTATTTATATAAAATTTTAAGTTGGAAAACTTGAAAATTTTCTCGAATTACACATAAAAATAACCGAAAATTATTATAAAAAAATGAAAGGAAATTTTTTTTATTTTTTTTCGGAGAAAAGAAATTTAATTTTATTTATTGATACTTGACCCAAATTATTTTTGAGTTTTAAAATTTTAAAATAATCCTCTCTGTCGTCTGCTGTCGTTATAATTTACTCAAATTTTTTTTTTTTTGCTGTCGTTAAACAAAAAAAAATTTTTTTTTTCTTTCTCTTCGTCATTCTCGAGTACATTAAAATTATTATCCGTAAAATATTTTAATACGCCTATTGAGAAGGGGGGGTAGAAGGAGGAATTTATTACTCCTGTTGTTGTTTTTCCAACGAGGGCGGAAGCGGGTGCGGGGAGGAGGAAATGAGAAAACTGGAGATTTAAAAAAAAAAAAAAGGGGTGATAATAAACGATTATTGTTTTCATTTTATTCAAAATCCGATTTATTCTCTCATTTTTAAATTGTTTTTTATCATTATCATTATCATTATTATTATTTTTCCAGTAACACAAAAAAAAGGGAAAACATTTGTAAAATTACGTACAAACATTTTTTTGGAGAGAGAGAGAGGGGGAGAAAAGAAAGAACAACTGGAAAAAGTTTTTCCCTTTTTTTTTTTTTCGTTAAATAAATAAAATTCGTTTTATTTAAAAGAATTCCTGGAGAAAGAGAAAGAGAGAGAGAGAGAGAGAGAGAAAGAAAGTGAAAAAAAAGGAGAGAAAATAAAATTACATGGAAGAAAATGTTCGACATGTAAAAGCGGAAACGGGTTTTCGTTGTAATTGAGAGAAAACTGAAAAAAGGTTGAAAAATGGACGAGTTTTCAAAATTCCAAAAAAAATTTTTTTTTTATTGGAGAAAAAATAAAGTTCACTGGAGGACGGTGAACTTGAAATCTGGATAATTATACATTTCGGAAAAATAATAATAATGAATAACACTTGACTACTTTAAACTCCCCCCCCTTTTTTTTTCTCTCCAGCAATTAAAAATATTCAAATGAAATAATTTAAAAAAAAAAAAATAAAAATCTAGAATGGAAAAGATTTAAAAATAAGAAGAGTAAATAAAAAAGGAGGAAAAAAGGAGGAGAAAAGAGAGTAGGAGGATGGGGGGTGGGGTTGGGGGAAAAATAATAATTTATAAACGCATTTACTTAAGAATAAATATATAAAAAACGTTTTTTAAAAATGAAAAAAAAAAATTTGATGGATTTTAAAAAAAACAAAAACCGAAACTGGAATTCTCATTTTTTTTTCTTTCTACGACTGACGGCTTCCACGACAGTGACTCTCTCTCTCTCTCTTGCATTATTAATTGAAGGAATAAAATTTTTCAAAATGTCATCATCATCATCATTTTCATTTTTTTTTTTTTTTTACGACATTTAGTCGTATGGAAAATATAAAAATATCAAGTTACACGTTTGACTCCCTTGTATTTTACAATTAATTATTATCATTATTATTATAACTATTATTATTATTATTAGTATTAGTATTAGTATCAACCGTAGCAAAATTTTTTTTCTTTTTTGAAAAAGCGTAGTTTCCTTTCCGCATTACCAACATCTACTCTTTCTCTCTCTCTTCCTCCCTATCTCTACCTCTTTTTCTCTTCCTTTACCTTTAGCTATTCTTCTCTCTCTCTCACTCTTTTTTAACCTTTAGTTTTTCCTCATTCTTTCTCTCTCTTTTTCTCTTTCCTTTTTTGTCTCCTCCTCTTTCTTTTCTCTCTCTTTCTCTTCCTCTACCTTTAGCTCTACCTCTTTCTCTCTTTTCATTTATCTTTAGCTTTTCCTCTCCCTCCCTCCCTCCCTCTCTCTCTTGCTACCCCTTTCCCAAAACTTTCCACTTTTTTTTTATAAAAAAAGGAAGAAAAAGGTAAAATTTCCGTCGTACATTAATAATTTTTTTTTTTTACAGAAAAAAAATTTTCCAAAATAAATTTATTATATTTAGTATTATTATCATTATCATCATTATTATTTCTAATTTTTCGAATACGTAAAAATCGAAATTAATATATTATTATTATTATTATTTTTATTATTTAGTTTTCAAGTCGGAAAGGAAACAATGATAATTTAAATTATTTTGGACAACATTATTATTCATTCTAGAAATATTTTCTGTTCGTTAAATCTTTGGAGAATAAAATTTTGGGAATCCCCGTGACTCCGATAAGAAAAAAAAACTTTAAAATGTGACCTTTGACACTTGAGAAAGCGCGGGCGTGCGTGCGAAAACTTTTTTACTTCCTCTCCAAAAATTTTTTTTTTTTTTAAAAATGACTTCGAACCGGTTCCAGTTCACCTGGACGTATTTAAATCTTTTTTTTTTCTTGGAATTTCATTTATCATCATTATCATCATCGTAATCGATTGTAATCGATTCGAAATCATCGATACCAACATTAAAAATTAAAAAACGTTTAACAAAAAATTGGAAAATTTTAATTTCGGACAATTTTGTTACGATTAAGAAAAAAAATTTACTTAACCCCCTCCGCCCCCCGAATAAAATTTGACCCCCATTAAAAAACGACAGTGGCGTAGTAATAAAATTAAAATTTTCATTCGTGTAATTAAATTTCAAAAAAAAAAAAAATTAATTAAATAATAATGATGATAATTTAAAACCGGAAATAAACGTCAAGTATTCTCATCCAGTTTCCGTCAACTTAATAAATCCGTCCTTAATAAATTTTTTTTTTAGTTTGTCGATTGAAACGATTTACCAAAACATTGTCGACATTCCAGCAGACGAAAAACATAACGTTAATAAAATTATTTTTCTCCAGTTCCGGTTTTTAAAAAAAAAATGAACGTTACGCGATTTTATCCGTTAATTTTTTTTAACGTAATCACGACGACGATGATGATGATGATGATAAACGTAAGTAACGAAACAATGTTTAAATTATCAAAAAACAAACAAAACAACAACAACAACAACAACGGAATAAAACAAAACACTTTCGATGACGAAATGACAAAAGCACGTGACGAATGTTCTTTTATGTTTCCGGTTAACGAATCAAATGATAAAAATAAAACGTTGGAAATAATAAAAGAAAAAATTATGGAAAAAAAATTAAAAGAATTTGACGTGAAAAAAAAAACGGAAAAGCTCAGAGATAAAAAATATTACGAAAATGTTAGAAAAGAATCGAGGAAGAAAATTTTTCGAAATGAAAATAATTTTCCACCGCTACCTCCGCTACCTCCTCCTCCGCCGCCATTTTCTACGAGACGATTTAATAAAAGATCTACAAGACGGCGAAAAAATAATAATAATAATAATAATAAATTTTCGACTGTGCATTTTATAGATCATAAAAATTGTACGAATCGTTGCATATTATCAAGAATGGAATTGGTAAGTGATTGATTGATTGATTGATTAAATTGGTGTGGTTGGGAAATTTTTTTTAAAAGAAAATTTATTATTTTATCAGGTGAATTCTTTAGGTTTTCCAGAAGAATCGTTATTTATAAAATTTATCGATGATTTGATATCGAATAAAAAATTTCGTTTGAAAAAAAAAAGAAAAGT